TCTACACATACACTTCTGTGCTACATTGTGGCTATTCACATGAAAGCACAATCTCCAACATACTCTAGTGCATCTCTCCAAACCTGTAGCATTGTGACCAAATAAAAATAGCATAATCTGTCATTCTTTTGCTCTCGCTCACGATCTCCAGACCGCTTTAATAATACATGAGCATTGTTCAAACAGACAAGCCACTCTGAGCACACTCAGAGTCTTGCATCATAGCTGGATGCTCTGCATGCAGGCTGTGTCTTTCATTTCCACTCACTGCCTCTCTCTCCTCTGCTGCAGTAAACAGCCTAACTTTTGACTTCATTGGGCTAAACCGCATTGATCCAGAGTTCACTAGCCAGCGGTGACCGGTTAAAAGTCGGTTCCTTTGGGTTAAGCAAAGCGCTCCAGTAGCGCCATGGTTCCCAAACTGTCATACGTGTACCCCCAGGGATACGTCGAATGACACTGAGGGTATGTCAAAATGTAAAAAAAAATTCTGGTTTTAATCTCCATTTCATTTCATTTAATCAGCCTGCTGCTCTTAGATCAAAAGGACTTGAAAAAGATTTTATATATATATATATATATATATATATATATATATATATATATATAGCTACTGCAAAAACATTGATAAATTCCTTGAACGGAAGTTAATGGATTTTTTTTTTCCAAGTCATTTTTAAGGTAAACATGGTAAACGAAACAGCTGACATTTTTCAGTTCTTTAAAAAGGTACAAAATGATGTTTTGGAAAAAAAATAGAGGTTATATATATGTGTATATATATAACTAAAAATATGGAATACCAGCAAAAGAGTAATGCCACATTTTAGGTTATAAAAACTATGAGTACTTTTTTTCTCAAAGCATCATTCTAAACTACTTTATTTTATTTCAGAATTATCTTTAGGCTGTGATTGTGGATGTACAAAAAAGTAACTCAATTACACGAGTATTTTTCCCATAAATTACTTATTTACTCTTACTTGAATAATCTTCTTCATTAATACTTTTACTTGCACTCAAGTAAATTATCACTACAGTAACAGTACTTTTACTCAGGTAGGGATTTTCAGTACATTTTCCACCCCTGGTGATAATACCCATGATATACTCATGCTAATGCTAATTTCATGATGTAATTTATCACAATAATGATTTCATATCGTCTAAATACCATATGGCAGCAGCATGCGGCAATGGATCTGTAATCTGCAACACATACAATGGGGCTAAAACATTGCACTGCCATAAGACTCAGCAACATTCCTTGTCACAGCATGGAAAAAACATCTAATGTATGCATTAATATTTTAAGAAGACAGAAAGGTATGAAAATCATTATATTGATAAAAAAATTACTTGGAATATTAAAAGGTGTGAAAACAGCAATGTACAATGGCAATGGCTTCATCTTCTCCCACTGTATGCATTGCAGATTTGAAGTTCCATTACTGCATGCTGTTGCCATATGACAATTATATTTTATCATTTTATATAAAAGAAAGCTCTTAAACTGTTTTCATTTATGTAACTTCCCATAGTTCGAACACTTCCTACAATGCTTTAATATATTTTGAAGTAGTTGTGTATGAATATTGTATATTATTTGAGATATTTGAGAGGGCTTCAGAAAGTGGGCCTCATAATCTGATGTGTGTCTGTGAAATAAGAAGTGCAGACTGCAACAGGAAGGCATGTAAGCAGAATAGTATACCTTATTACTCATAAAGTCTTCATTCTTTCCTAGAAATAGAAAAAAATGACTTATTTTGTGCAAAGCCAAATATTGAAAGGAAGTAATTGTTGCCATATGGCAACACTGTGCAGTAATGGGTTTGTCCTCTGACATGGTTAGCTCTCCTATCTGTGCTGATGCGTTTATGTTAATGGGCTTTAATGAGTGGAGTGCAGTTATGCTGTACCTGCTGCATTAGCTTCCTGCAGTACTAATGTGCTAGCATGTCACCCAGGACCTAGGACTTAGGTGAGGAAATTAAGCCTAACACCATGCGGTGCACAGTTGGCCACACTCATAGCTGTCCTCACTTGGTTTCCCTCTCCTCATTCTCTCTCAGTCTTTTTATTTTATACAGCAGATGGTGTGTGCTGTTCCTCTACTCTCTAAGCTTCACCACTACAGAAATATTTTGAAGTCAGGAGCTGTAGTTATGACAGAAACTGATTTATAAGATCTGTAATTAAAGGCCTTTGCATTCCAACTGTGACTGCTAAATATTCTCGTATAAATTTGCTTTTTTATTATCATCATAGAAATCATAGTAACATATTTGTGAATGAATAACTCCATAAGCAATGATATTAGCCTCTGAAAAGAAAGTGCTATTGAGTTATTGCATAACTCTTTTGCTCATTTATATACACTCATACAAAATGGGAGGCACTTTAGCTGAAGGTTGGCTACATAGGAACTTCATAAAACATGCATAAGCATTATGTAACATTTAAAAAGCAATATTTGAGTGTTTATAAACAGCTTTTGGCAGTATTTGCAAGATAACACAAGCTTTCATATGCAGTAATTGACATTGTACTGACATAAGAACCATTATACTAAAGTGATGGACATTTGTTCTACTTGCATTGTCATAAGCACCATATATTAGTTCTGTGTATAACATTTCTTCTTGAGTTAAAGTACAGTTTCTGTTAAGGAGAGCTGTGTGGCAGCAGTAATGAACAGCTAACTCAGTTACTAAATCATATAGTAACACAATATTTATAAAAACTCATAGCACTTTTAGTTTTGGTACTCAAATGCATTAAAACCAAGCAGGCCTACCTTTGTACTTCAACTTAAGTAATAATATAGAGACATCTACTTTTACTCAGGTAATATCTTACCTAGGGTATCTTTAGTTTCAGTGAAGTACAGGATTTTTGATTTCAGCCCAACACCTGTCTATCTATATATGAGAAAATATGTATGGAAAATTTGTTTGAGGGCATTCATCTAAATCATTTATATAACTGTATGTATATGATGTTGCTAACTAGGTCTTCCATTACTGGTTCCATTATGATTTATCATAACTGTAAAATATCATAAATGGGTCAACTGTCTGTCACTTTAGTCTGTACCACTTCATTTGATGGCAACCTACACAGTGACTTCAGCACATGCAGAAGCTTTGAAAATGCATTTATAAAGCAATACTTCAGTATTTCTAAACAGTTTATGCCAGTAATCTCAAGATTACACAAATGTTTAATAAAGTAAATGACATTTTATTGATATAAGGGGCCTTAAATGAATAAACTTGAGTTTAAAGATGCAATGTGTGAGTGATTTCTTTGATATTGATGAAGGTAAAATAATGGCAAATTGGGAAAAATAAGTTTCCTTTGGGGACTGTTTTGCCTTAAAATGGCCCCTCTGCCATTGAAAGGCCAAAAGCTTGTCTCACAACTTAAAACTTTGCCTCAGGCATCAGGCAACGTATTCATAATTATTTCATGTAATAACTTTCAGTGATGCAGCTTTTAGAGGCATTAAACTCTTGAAATGTCTTATCACTACCACTGTGAACAACTGACTCTGTTAGTTTCTCTAGAATGGAGCACTTCACATCAGACCACTCTGAATGACTTTTTTACATCGCAACTATTTCATTTTGCAGAAATTTTAATAAATGGGTGTAGTTGCACTTTAAGAAAAAAGGATGTCATATAAACAGGCCCTAGGCTGCTCTCGCTGCAAGTTATACATGAGTCTAATGATCAGAAAGCTAGCCAGACAGCACTGTATCAGGTAACCTACAACACATGCATGTAGGGACACAGCTTGATGGAGAATGTGATGTATGTTCTATATAGAACTTTTTGAAAATGGTTTTATATATAATTTCTCTGCAGATTTCTTTGAAAATCTGAAAGCACGTCTCCTGAAAAGAATGGAAGCTGTAATAAAAGCAAAGAGTGGACATATTTAATACTAAAAAAACAAAAAAAATTCTATTTATTTGTTGAGGCTTTTGTTAAATTTTCTGCTAAATATATGAATGGTGGTCCCTGACTTTTGACACAGTACAGTAAGTATGCATAATTTATAATGCGTGACATAGAGAGCAGCTCATAGGTAGCTGGATAATAACATGGATTTTGTTGCTGTAACTCTTGTTGCACAGAGGTTAAAGTGCAGATCATCAGCTTTAATTCACTGTTATTTACATGTATATTGGACGTATAACCACACCAAAAAGGACACGTCTTTTTGTCTGTAGTTCTTCCATTGCAGCAGGCCATGAGTAATAGGAAAAATAAACATAATCTCAGATCAAGTTGTCACATTCAGTACTTGTCAAAACAACAAAAACCATCTACCTTGGAGTTAATCATTTCAAATGCAGTGTGCTGAGGTACTGAGTCAGAGTAGGAAATATGTCACTGCTCGATTATTTACAGGCCACCACCATCTCATGTTGTCTACAGTAAAGGGGAAAGCTTGAGTCCTTTGATGATGATTAAAAATGAACAAATTCTTTCATCGTTTGGAGAAAATAACAGGGAAAAATAATTCAACCACAACAGATATTAATTTAATATGGTATGATATGATGATACAATATAAAGAGTAATGTAATCAGTGATGTTGAAGTATAAAAAACATCCAAAGAGCTCTGATATGATTTAATATCCTCTGGCTATGTTAAAGAACAGCAGTTGGAATCTAGCATGGTCACTCTAAACAGTACATTTAACCATCCCATAGTGCACTATAATATTTCACATTTCATCATCATACAGCATTTTACAGACAATAATGTCAATTTAGTTGAAGGTTCAACATTTTTGATAGACAAATGTGCATAATGTTGACAAGGACTTCTCTGGTTCTCTTGCAGTCCATTTTGAAGTCAATGGGGTCTGTAATCACATGCATTTTTCCTGCCTCATTTAAGGTTATTTCTCTCTCTCTCGTTCTCTCTCACCCTCTTTCTAATGACTGTCACTAATGACTGTCCTGTGTCTGTCCTGTACAGGAAGATCCTGGAGGTGAAGATCATTGATGATGAGGAGTATGAGAAGAACAAGACTTTCACCATCCATCTGGGGGAGCCTGTGCTGCTGGAGATTGGACAGAAGCACGGTCAGGAAACATTCTCTTTTCAGCAGGATTATCTTCCCTTACTGAAAACATCAGCTTTAGTCATTAAAAAACCTGCAGAACTGATCTTGGATCAGTAGAAATGGGTGGCTTCTACAAATCTATGGCTCTTCTTCAGCTCTCTATGTCTGTGTAGTCTGAATTATTAGAATACGTTGCCATATCTTACAGGAAAAATGCCCTTTACGTTGCCCTTACAAAGTTTTTTTGATGTATAATATATAAACCTATACACAGAGGAAAACTAGAAGAGCAGAGAGTTTTTTCAAAAGAAAAAAATCTTTACCCCTACTTGAGGTAAGAAGACCCCGTGGTTCCTGGAATCTTGTATCCATTTGTCATCTTTGTTTTACAGAATGTTTAGTTTAAGTGTGAAATCATTTACTAGTTTTTGCGTTTTTCAAAAATTCGTGTTAGTAATCAAAGTAACACTTAATCAATTTTAAAACGAAATTGAAGCCTTCATCTTTTAATGATTCCACTTCATTTTAATAAGTTATGTCAAAAGACAAATGACAGTAAAATGCAAAAACATGAAATGTCCATTTTGTTAATAGCAATGCTTGAAATATTGATCTTCTTTTCCCTCTCTAAACCAGATGTATTGGTTTAGAGAGGGAAAAGAACATACACATACACCCTCCCAATAATCATATGTTTTTAGACCCTTTCATCTATCTATCTACAACTTACTATAAATGCATATATCAATATTATCCAATGACAAAAAAAGAGATCAACTGACCTCAAAAAAGTATATGAGGCAATGAATACCAGTAATGCTCCAGATGAAATTTCAGAATTAGCCATTCAGAAAATTGATTTGCCCGCACCATTTCATCAGCTGGGGTTAGCCTTCTGAAAGTCACGAATAGAGGTGGAAGGTATACGAGTGAATACTAGCGTGTCATTGTCGCATCACTGATTTTACTGTTTGATGTATATCGAAATAAGCTAAAAAACACTAAATCCAAAGTGGCCCCACCCACAAGACAAATTAAACATGAGCCCGAACAGCTTATATAAGGTTGAATATTTAAAAAATAAATTAAAATAAATTTTTAAAAGAAATTGGGATCATTTGCAGAGCTTATAAATTTTGAGATAACTATGATAACAACAACAAAATAATGATAATAATAAAAAATACTTCTTATATTTTGCATATTTTGTATCTGTGATAGATATTTATTGTCAGTTCACCAGCCCTTAGTTAATAGCGGGAGTGGGGGGAAGACTTATCGTATGCAAGACAGGAAATAGGACAAATGGAAAGAATTCTAATCTCAAATATGTTACATTATGTACTAGGTTGTTCATAAGTGAATCACGTACAGTTGGATAGTTGAATATTTTCAAGTGCATGAATAGCTGGAGGACGAGTCCCATCAGGACAGACAGTAATTGGTCTCAGTGCATGCGGCCATGTTGGAGCAGTGTCTCCGGGCCATTCTGCACATTAATTATACACTTACTGCTCTAATTTAATGTTCTTCGCCATGCTATTCAATTTGCCAAAGCTATTGTAGGATCCTATTAACAATGTTCTCATTGCCATTTAAATCTAAGTTTCTTTTTCCTAGATTCTCCTCTCTCTCTTTCATCGCTTGCTATTGCGTGCAAAGAGAAGCAGAGAAAAATATTTTTAATGTGCCTATATTTATCTGGGCTATTGCATCAGAGTAATTATGGGGTGATGATTATGAACACTGAAAGAACTTGACAGTTGAGACTGTACATTATTCAGCAGACTATGAGGCAGTGTTCACATTACAGAGTTAAAGTGTTAATTTTTTGGCCTAAATATAATTAGATTCAATTTTTTCAGAGCTGTGAGAACACAAAATTTGGATTCTCCAATTTGATATGTGGTCCTTGATCATGTGCATATCTGATACGATCAGGTACATATCTGAAACAAGTGCATATCTGACAAAAATCAGAAATGAGCAATAGGGCTTATGATGTAGACTTTTTTAAAATGATTTTATTTTACATTTGCAGTGTTGCCTTGTATGTTCATATTTTTACCTTTGAAATGTGTATTTCTTATAGATTTACTCTCCGTATGACTTTCTGTAAGCAAGAGTTGGATTGCATCAATACAAGTGTTGATTAATAGAGCCATCAGTACAAGTGTTGATTAATAGAGCTGGAACGATATATCAGTTGGCTGAGAATGAGGGGTGTAATAGTACAATACATATTGTAGATATACATCTAGTATTGTATTTTAATGGAAGATGTTGTCACATATTGTAACATATCTTGTTGTATTGTGTCTAGCTTGTTATCAAATAGGCTAACAAATGTTAAGGCCTTTACACACCGAACGTGATTATTTAGATGACAATAAATTATGTAAATGTATAACTGATGATATCTTGCACACCAAATGTGGCAGAAATGTGGCATTATTGACATTATTGAAAGTTTTAAGTTTTTGAAAACTTTTGCCAGCGACAAGAGCTCACTGAATCTAGCATGGAATCAGAAACCTCAAAAGAAGCTCAAACTGGGCTATAAACATTCCCGTTATACTTGAAAACACTCAGAGTTTCAGTTTTTGAATGAAGCGATGATGCTCTTTGCGCTACTTTCACTTTTCCAAAATGGAAAGTAGCGCCCTGTCTCCGTTTTTTCCTTTATGTGAGGAGCAAAAATCTTATTTGCACTTAAAGACATTCAGCCTATTTGTCTTGTGCTGCATCTCCAAAATCAGCTCAAACTCTGGCTGTCAGTGAAAGAACTCTTCGTTCTCCTTGCACTTCTCCAAAGTGGAAAACATACTGCACAATGTCATAGTTTGCCCATTTCATGATAAGCAAATACTTTTTTGATAGGTATTCTGCCAGTTTTTTTGTGGCTTGAGCAACCTTTTGTCCAGTGTGTATGGTTTTGATACAAAAAATTTAGTCAGAACATATTGTACTTTTATAATTATAACTGAAAATGTAAATGGAATTAAGTGTTTTGTAAAACACCTCTAGTGGTTTGTTGTTCTTTTTTGGAAGCAACATAGCTATTCAGCCAGTTTGGCCATGTTAGGCTTGAAAGTTAAATTGTTAATCGCAGTTATTTATGTGGCAATTAACCATCAGTGAAAATTTCATGACTGTGACAGGCCTATGTATTATTATTATCTAAAATATACAGTTAAAATAGAACATTATGTTGGCCAGTGTCATAGGCTATATTAATTTTTAGCCCCTTAAAATCTGTATTGTTATAGGTCACAAAGTTTTTGCATGAGTTGGGCCTTACTAGTACATGTTGCAATAAAGTTTAAGTTCAAGGTCAAGCCTAAAGGTAAGTGTGTATTTCCCTACAGGTGATTCGAATGATAATAAGCCAGCAGTGGGGGTCGAGGAGGAAGAGGTGGCTAAGATGGGTTGCCCGAGTCTCGGAGAACACACTAAGCTGGAAGTGGTGATCGAGGAGTCGTATGAGTTCAAGGTGCGTTCTGAAAGTCAGACTAGCTGTTTTGTCAGTCTGCAGGACATTACAGTATTTATGACCCTGGATTTCACCCAATCTCTCACACACCTAGACCTCTGGGGTCACTGTTTTATTGCTGTGTCTGGATTCCCTCCCACTCATCCCCATGGTGACAGACTCCATACAGCAGGTCAGCCAGGTGGAGCAGCTCAGGGGATTTAGGAGAGATGTGAGACAGGCCCGTCTTGACTCCCCATGGCTTCCTCTACAAGATTACACAGACCGTGCCCTCTCAGAGAAAACACAAACCAGAAGCAGCAGACAGGATGACACTGGACAGAATGAAATTTGGAGGGTTTTTTTTTTTCGGTTACCGTGCTGCCTCACTGTTCTCAAATCAGTTTAGCCGAACCTCTTCCTTCCCAGGCTGTCTGGAGGGTTAGATTAGCCATTTACGCAGCTCAATGTCACATTGGAGATGAGGTGAGTTGCTTCATCTTTTACTGTCTGTGTGTGTGTGTGTGTGTGTGTGTGTTTGTGTGTGTGTGTGTATGTTTGTGTATGCAGAACACGGTGGATAAGCTGATAAAGAAGACTAACCTTGCATTGGTGGTGGGCAGCAGTAGCTGGAGAGAGCAGTTTGTCAGTGCTGTCACCGTCAGCGCAGGTCAGTTCCTCTAACATACACACATGCAGCTCATTTCTATCCATCAATGTTTAATTGCTCCCTAGCTCATTTATATTCTAATGAAATACCTGCTTCATTATCTGATTAATGACTGACGGCTTATCTACACTGTCATCAGCCTCCGTTTGTCCCATCTGAGATGCCTTACAGCAGCTCAACCCAAAAGCTACATCTCATATCACTGAAACCATTTAATTAAGGTTGGAAAGTATGCAGGCACAAGCATTTTGCCCCTACACCGCATCCACTCATTATGCCCAGAATCTGGTCAAAAATTAATTGGTTAATTTTTATTAAATTGCATTTCTATTCAAATGAACACATTTATTTCATATTTTAAATGAAATAAAACTATGGAACTTATGGATCTTTGTAGTCTCAGTCTCGGAGTGAAATTGAGTGGAATATCACTATCACTTGTCTGTCAGCACATGTAACACATGTATGACCACCGAGAGAGTCTGTCGCTAAGCAAACCCTTGCAGCGAGCGGACATAACTTTAGCTAAGAGGTTCTTAGGGGTAAGGTGTAATCAGTGCTTGAAACATAAACAGTGTCATCCAGAGTTCTTTGATGGAAAATAGTTCATTGTAAAGAATGTCACCGACTCAGATTTCTTTACAATGGTGGTGATAGGAATCAGGGGTTGTCAACAGCGCAAATATAGCTGTTTTTTACTATCAACAATTAGCAGTGAATCTACACGTGTCTCCTTAGTTTTTATGTAATGTTGATGATGGTAACAGTGGTAAATCTGAAAGAATAAGCTTTCTTTGGGGACTGTTTTGCCTTACAATGCACCTACATGCACCTCTTTGCCATAAATAGGTTTTAAAAGATAAGTTTCAGGTAAAAGTCCTATCTCAAAACTATTATAGAACAATGTCTCAGGCATCACATCAGCCCACTCTAAAAGACTTGTTTACAATTGAATTATTTAATTATGCAGGAATTATGGAAAATTAGTGTAATTCTCCTTTATAACTAACTTGCTAATATTCTAGGATATAAAATAAGTATTAAAGAGAATTAATTTGAGGTATGCAAGAGTTATGTCATTTGATTTATTCATGTTTAGCAAACAGGGTGAATTCGCACCTTGGTATTTGAACCTTTGTGGCTATGATTTGCTAGAGCTACGACAGACATCCCTCAAGAATGAGGGCTGATTCCACAGCAGTGACAATATGATTCCAGATGACATCATCTGAAATTCAAGGCTGGAAAAAATGTAACTTTGGATTTGCCATTCCTTTGTGTATGGAGTCCTCAATAGCCTCAATGCTCAAACTTTAGCATTGCTAAAAGCAGTTGCTAATGTTAGCCTAGTTAGTTAAGTAGGCTTCAGGGATTGTTGATGGTTCCAAGTAAAAGCAACATGGCATTAGGCCAGCCATAATGTTCTATTTTGCACCATAACTTTTTCTGGGTATCAGTTTAGAAAAGTCTTAAAAAGCTTGAGCATTAGCAGGCTTAGCAACAATGCACACTCATAAAAATGCTACAATTATTGATTATGTCTGATGCCTGGCAAATACTCATGGCAGCCCACTACAAACACTTGAAAAGCTATGTAAGATAAATCTGACACATCGCATTAAAGACAATATCAGTGAATGTTAAACTGCCCTTTGCATGCCAGACAAGGATGAGGTTGAGGCTCGTTGTAAAAATTTGATGTGGACCACCTCTATAAGCATTACATAACCTCCATGGCTGCCTCCCCCAGGTGATGACGATGAGGAGGAGAGCGGAGAGGAACGCCTTCCCTCCTGCTTTGATTACATCATGCACTTCCTGACTGTCTTCTGGAAGGTTCTGTTTGCCTTCGTGCCACCTACAGAGTACTGGAATGGCTGGGCCTGCTTCTTCGTGTCCATCTCACTCATCGGAGTGCTGACCGCCGTCACTGGAGACTTGGCCTCCCACTTTGGCTGCACCATTGGCCTGAAGGACTCAGTGACGGCTGTGGTGTTTGTGGCCCTTGGCACCTCGGTGCCTGGTGAGTGTGCAGTCAGGTCAAACAAAACAATAGGCCACAACTTCATACACATCATGTTTGTGTTTTCCCAAATGCTGTTAACAGCCAAGACTTGTTTGGTATCCAAATATTGCCTCTTTAGTTTATCATTTAGCCTACAAGGCTAATGTAGCTTATCATATATTACACCAACTGGACAAATCATACAAACCGCATGCCGGAATTCTAGTTTCACTTGCTTCAAACTGCATTAACAAGTAGCAATCTCAAAAATCCTTGCTTATCTGGTTCCTATCTAAAAAAGGGACAGATATACCGTATCGCTAAAAATAGCAGTAGCGACCATCTCAAAGCCTGCATTCTGTCTTTTTGTATATAGATGGGTGAAAAACCAACATAAAGTGTCTTAGTGAGGTGTCAGGCCTCCACAAACTACCAGAACAGCTTTAATCCACCTTGGCATAGTTTCTACAGTGTCACAGGACCCCTTTCACTCTAGGGGTCAAGCATTCTGTCCTGTACCGTTCTCTTGGTGTGTGCAACATAGTGAAGGATGACTCATCTGACTCGCTGTTTTCACATCTCTGTAGTCTAGTGCTTATGGTTTTTACACCACTGAAGTCTCAAATAGGGGTGCAACAATTAACCAACTTAGTCAACTTAAATTGATGACCAAATTAGTTGGCAAGTAATTTAATAGTTGATTATTTGGTGGCATCAACACGCATGTTTCTTGCTCTCACTAGGAATGTTTTGCAACAAGTTTGCCACAAACGTTCACCACTGCTTGCCAAATTTGAATGCAACTCACACTTATGGCTAGAGATAGTGTTGCTCATAGACGTACATACAAAGATGCCGCACTGTGTTTAGCCAGGCACGTCAACAGTGCCACCATTTTGGGGCAGTCAACATCGCTGCTGGACTGCGTTCAGTACCATTACAGAGTGGCAGTTTAACAAAGATACTGTCCAAAGTTATACTAAGAATATTGCATTCAGAAAGCAGGATAGGATAATACAACAGAGAGAGTGTATGAATGTACACTTGTTAAATGTTGTATGTACACTTTCAACCACAATTTTCAGCTCTATTTACTGATGTCTTTCTCATAGATCTAAATGCAGATGTCACTTTGGTCACTGTTTTACTAAAACACTAGCCAGCTGAGCAGACTTTGTGGAACCGTCTTTCAAAGTCACTTAGCTGTTTTCCTTTTGCCATATTGATCCAAATCAATCCAAGTCAACATGTTACAGGTTACACTTTTACCTTGTCATCTGTCTGTATGTATCAGTATAGTGTGAGACACTACAGAAGAAAATCTGTTTGAGATTACCACTTGATGCAGTTTGAGGCAAGAGTGTGCTGATTTAGGCACCCAGTTGGCACAATAAACTTCTACTACTAGTTAGCTGCATTATCCTCACAGCAGTGCAAAAGTAAAGAAGCATCAGATGCCAAACATATCTTGGCTGATTCACTACATTTGGGTAAACTGCATTTTTTTTGTCCAAACTGTCACTTTAAAGCCCTTAGAGTTTTGCTCTTTCACTTCTCTCTCTTTCCTTCTTCTCTTCTTCTACTTTTCCTCAGACACTTTTGCCAGCAAAGTTGCTGCCATCCAGGACCAGTATGCAGATGCTTCCATCGGCAATGTGACGGGCAGCAACGCGGTCAACGTGTTCCTGGGCATTGGAGTTGCGTGGACCATCGCTGCTGTCTACTGGCACAGTAAGGGTCAGCACTTTACAGTGCCGCCCGGCTCACTGGCCTTCTCCGTCACTCTGTTCACCATCCTGGCACTGATCTGTGTGCTCATGTTGCTTTACCGCCGTCGGCCCTCTGTCTCCGGAGGAGAGCTCGGGGGGCCGCGGACCGCCAAGCTGCTGACCGCCCTGCTCTTCCTTTCCCTCTGGCTCATCTACATCCTGCTGGCCTCGATGGAGGCCTACTGCCACTTGCCTAGCTTCTGAGAGCGAGAGAGAGACACTGAGACACAGAGAGAGCGATAGAGATTTCCTTCCTGTGCAACCACCTAATTGTTCTCCCTCTCTCTGCTGTTGTGACAAAACTGTATCTATAAGGTGTCCAAACTGAGTGTTTACATTTGTTATTGAAGATAATTAAGTGTTGTTGGAATGGGACCAGTTCCTTCTCGCTAATGCTAACGAGGCTAGTGGAGGGGATGGAAACTCCTGCTGTTTTGGAGGAGACTTGCTCTGAAACTGAAGGGAACACACAGACACTGCTCACTACATGGTTTACGCTTGGGGTGTGCCTGCACCTGCTGATCCAGAAATGACCACATGTAAAAAGAGCCATTCAAGAAAGCGTATCCTTTGCAACAGGACTATTCTTTTTTTTCCAGGCAAGTTTCTCACTCCTCGTCTCAATATTTTCAACTTTTTGCATCTTCTGTTCCCTATCAGTAGACTTCTGAAGCACACTCTACAGGTTCCTCTGCCCTTGAGGCCAGAATATCACTGACCGTTCCATCTCTTCTCTGCAGTTCCCCGTGGACCATGTATACAGGCTCAAAACAGGGTGCAGCCTGGCCCTTATGCTTCCTCCTATTCTACTGATTCCTCCCAGTTTCTACTCTCTTCCACTGTCAAGTGCTTGTCTTGTGCAATTTTTGGGTAAAATAAGCTCTTACATGTGGGATTTATTATTATTATTTTTATTTTCAATTAATGGTATGTTAAGTAAGAAACAAAATGACAGAATGTGAAAAAGAACTCTTCTGTGTTTGCTCAAAAGAGTTGCCACAAAAAAAGAGATGCACAACTTGCATGGCACAAGAGTTAGCGTTAGAAGTCAAATCGAGACCAAAAGAAATGGTGAAAAGGTAAAATGATAAAGGTATTAGTGTATATTCATAAGGTGATCGGTGATATTTATTATCCTTACTTATATATTGTGTGTTCAGGAATATTGTGGACTGTCTGTGTGTGAGAGAATGTACTGGACAGGGAATGTGGTACTAAGGATAAAACAAAACAGTGTTGATATAGTGTGTCAGTGTGCGGAGGGCCATCCTGTCATTGTTCTTGTAAGTAGGACTGTCCTAATGTGAATAGTATGACTGTGAATGGAAGCCATGCATGGTGATCAGTATGTTTACCACTGCCACAGACACTCACATACACACACAGACACAGAAACTCAAGTTTCAGAGTCACTCATAGAGCCCTGACTGCCCAAGTTCCATGAGCTCCCAAGGAAACCACCATGAATGTGTAGTCAGTATTGATGAGTGAAGGCTGTTAGTGTAAGAAAGACAATGACGCGCTACTATGGTGTAGTTACTGTATGCAGTTTTGGTGATACTGTATGTAAAGCACTCACGTTTTCCTGCTTCCATAGCAATAGCATCGCCACTTTGACTCATTCAAATGCCTTTAAATTGCATTTGATTGTGTTGCAATTACACATATGGTTAACTTTTTTACTGCTGAATTAGACTTGACTTTTTATATTTGAAATGTGGGGCCCTAATCTTCACCCCATTAATCCAGCCCTGTTCACCATTAACCAAGCACCGATTCCTCCAGATATCATCACCGCTGCTTCATTTGGGCTTATGTGCATGCTTAATGTAGTTTGGAGTGAATCTCAAATTGATTTATTTTTTGCACTCTTTAATCAGTTACTTCCATCTGTTCCTAAAGTAATGAGACTTGGTCTGGTTCCAGTCACCCAGGAGTTAATCTGGCCGTTAGATCAGGTTCGGTTGCTTGTTTTCTCTCTGTCTCACTCTCTCCGTGTTACTGTATCTGTGCGACAGATAAAGCCCCACTGAATAGTTCTCAGATATTGTATAATTGTTTACAGGGTGTTTATTACGTCCCATTTTCCTCCAGTACCTATCAGCCATCTGCCGTGGCTGGGCTCGGACATATGCTTCAGGAAGTACTTGGGACGCTCCAGGCAGGAAGTTTTGCTGATGCTCGCAGTCAGTGTTCCCGCTAGGCTAGTGCTTGCAAACTTTTTAAGGCACCCTTACCTAAACCCATTTTGAGCTTGCCGTTGCTTTGAAGCGGGTTTTTCTAGTGCACTTTTTTCAAAAAAAGCTAGGGGCCATTCTTGACAGCTTTCTGCTACCTGCTTGTCTCAGGAACCCACAGCAAGAAAGAGAGAGAGGCAGGGTGTAAGTGCCTGTCTATTTAAAGCCTGGAAACGTCTAATTTTTTGTCAAATCTAAATCTGACTTGTGGATTCCGCTCTCACCTACGATCTGTGACATCCCCTGAAATGCTCAGCTTCTGCTGCGCTCAGCTAAAGCTTGTAACTGGGAATTTCCCACCTCCGCCTAGGAAAAATCAAAGAAAACACCCCCATTAGTAATTGTAAACATTAGTAATTGGCAAAATCTATAACACGGACCATTGGTTCACAGTTCACGGTAAATACATAATAACATTAAAGTTAGCTGGCTAGCTTGTTGCTAACAATACTCTTTTTCATGAGGGTGTCCGTGTTTTTCCCGCTTTGTAGGTTGAACATGTGGAGGTTGAAAATAAAGCAATTCTGAGCTCTGACATTCCACCTACAGGCCAAGGCAAATGCAGCATTCATCTCGCCAAGTCTGCAAGGCTGCAAGTCGGCAAGTGTATGATAAGTGCTGAGAGAGGACTTGTTTGCTCAGTTGATGTTTTTTTTATATGGTCACATCCCTTTCACTATCAATAGAGGGTAGTTCCACAAGCAAAGTCTGCATCCCAAGCAAATTCCTTGGAATTTCTCAAAAAGTCTCTGTGATCCCCTTTTCAGACTAGATGAATGAAGGCCCTGTAGACTTTCTCTGTAAAATGCATGTTTTGCAAGTCCTCAAGTCTGCAAGTCCTGGGAAGGTCAGAGATTTAGATAGAGCACTAATGGAAGCTGTTAAAACTTCTGTTTCAGAAACCTTTTTAAGAGAAGGGCTGGAAAACTTTGATTAACGTTTTTAGCGTCACATGGGTTTACGCATTCACATGATGTCAGCCAGACCGACTTTTTACATGATACCAGGCAAAAAAAAAGGAAAGAAAGTGCGCAGAGCAAGTATTTTTAGTGCTTCTTGTTGCTAGGCGACGTCTCAAAGAGTCATTGTCTTTCTGTCACTGCGTTGTCTGGTGTCAGTGCGCTGGGGTGGGCGTGTAGCGGGCGTAGCGGGGCCACGGGCTTCTGATCTCCTTTTTGAGGTCATTTCAGTCTCTCTCTCCCCCTGAGTCATGGCACAGAGGGTTAACAAATTTGAAGCACCAGTCCAGTCCAATGCAGCTTTTAATGAAAGTCTGATAGATTTTTCTGAGTTTTAAATGTGGTGCAGTGTAAGTGGGGGGAATGCAGCTAGTCGGACTGCAGCAGAGTCGGTCCCACGTGTACCATATAAGTGTGTGGACGTAGCTTTGCAGCATTCTTAGCTCATAATGGTGTTCATTAGGACATAAACAGCAAAGACTGATTCTAGATCAGCACTTCCTCTGAGACTGGTAAACCCCTCTGGTGTTTTCAGACTGAGGTGGTGATGGATTTCTGACAAGAAAAGCTAGCTTGGTTCAAAGCTAACTGGAGGATTCTCTCAGCACAGCCGTTTCTTCTCACTTATCCCTCCAGAGTAAATGATAGGCTTCAGCATGGGCTGATAATACAGTTGGGAGTCTTCTGAATGTATTATTAGAATATGTCCTTGAGGGCTGAAGATGAGTTTCTTTCATCTAAGTGCAGATAATAGCACTTAGATGAAAGGATTTTGTGCAGTCACTGGTCATTTTAAGTATAGGGGTGAGTAAATACGTGACACGCCTTGCCTTTATGGCAAGTTGTTTAAAGGAATACTCTGACTTTTTTCAACCTAATCTCTAACTGTAGCGTCTGCAGGATACAGTCGATTATCACAAACCGTCAATTCCTTGTACTGGTAAAAGAACAGAAAACCCATTGGCTCCAATCTCAATTGTAACAGAAGCCAGTGGGGCAGCTGCTCCAGTTTCAAGTGACCCTGTCTTTTGCAAGCAGTAGCAGCTCCAGGGCTGCCGTTTTGAATAGACATGAAAAATTTGCAGGTGGCCGAACCTTGAATTTCATACTAGCTTTAAGTAACAAAGTAACAACAAAGTAATTACTACAAAGTAATTTAAAGATAATGTAGTGTCAGCATAGAAGAAAACACGGAAAACATTGCGCATATGGGTAGCAAGAACTGCCCAGCCCAGCACTAATCCAACACAGAGCCCAGGCCCCCCCAGAGAGCCATTTAGCATGGCTACACCCCCTAAGCTTTTCACAGCAGTGCAGCCTGTGGCCACAATATTTATAGTGCATCTACTAAGCGCCAACCCCAAAACATGGAAAACAATAAAACTAAGATTTATAAAACTTGACACTCATAATAGATGAAAAATCGAAACTCACTTTGTGCAAAGAAGCAATAATGTCCAACAGAAATTTAACCTGCTCGGGATTTCTCTCTATTATTCTGGCATTTATTCAGATTTGATGAGCCACACTCAGAGTTGGATAGCTATTTGTAGTTATTGTGTTTATTTAATGTTATATTGTCCGCTTGGTTAGTTTTTGAACAAGTCATGTTCATGTTGTCACTGTCACATATCTCTAAATTTTTTTGACTTTTATTGTTATTCTTCATTTGAGCACAGCAGTAGCCACATTTACGTTGTGTGCAAATTTCAGGATGAATGAACCAAGTCAAATGCCAAACCAAGTCATATATAGCAACAATATCTCTCCAGTCCAGTCACAGAGTGGTGAGTCTTGGAGAGTTGGAATGTTTTTTATATTGTGATTAGATTTTGTTTTTTCAAGGTCAAAAAGCTTAGGAAATATGCATGGTTATTGGTTAATTTTGGATTGATCAATATCGAAAATGGAATATTTAGCAAGTACATTTTTTTATTTGTGGTTTTGGTGGTTTAATATTGGAATTACATTTGAGCAGTCATTTTGGGTGGGCCAGTGATAAAAGTGG